TCCATATATATATATATATATATATATATATATATATATATATATATATATAAATATATGGAAAAATTCGTGTGGGTATTCAAATGAAAAGTCTCGATAAGTGTACCTCCAGGATGAGCTTATATTGTTAAAAATATCATCAGTGGAAAAAATACAACGTCATTTCTTAATTATTGACATTTTTTAAGATATAAGCTCATCCTGATGGTACGCTCATCGAGACCTTCCATTTGAGTACCCACATCAATTTTTCATATATTTCATATATTTTATATATTTCACAAATATAAGAAATATCATATATATAAAATATATAGAAAAATTCGTGTGGCTATTCAAATCAAAGGTCTCGATAAGTGTAACGTCAGGGTGAGCTTATATCGTTAAAAACATTATTAGTAGACAAAATACAAAGTAATTTTTTAGTTATTGACATTTTTCATAATATAAGCTCATCTTGATGTTACACTCATCTCGATCCTTGAATTGAGTAGGCTTCTATCAAGATGTTTATTATCAACATTTTAGTTAATCAATATTTTCAAAAATTTCATTAATTTTTTTATAACAAAATCGCTCATTTTTTTTTAAATAATTTTTTTCTCTCAGTATTGCAATTTTTATTACTAATTTTCAATTCAACTGATTTAAATTTATTTAATTTTGCCTGTTATTAAATACTTAATACATAAAAAAGTAACTTTTTTCTATAAAATTTTTTTTTTATTAAATAATTTATAATTAACTAATTAGCTTGAATTAATTAATTAACTTAATTAATTAAATGAAATAATTAACTTAAATGTGAATTTTTATTTATTAAACAGGGTAGCTTTTTAAAAAATAAGTTTCCCAAAAACGTTCACATTTTAACATTGGAACCATGGAAAGACGGAACAATCCTCCTGAGACTCGAGCATTTATTCGAAAAAGATCAAGCTGGATCTTTATCACAAAGCGCTACTATCAATCTATTGGTTCGTTATTAAATTTATAACTTCTTGTAATACTATGCTGTAATTTTTTTTAATTTACCAATAAAAAAATTGATTTCTTCTTAGGATCTGTTTACAAACATTGAAATTATCTCCGTGAGGGAAACCACCCTTGGTGGAAATCAATGGATCGAAGAAATGAAGCGCCTTCAATGGCAAATAGATTCTAATGAAGTGGACGATCAACCTTACAACTTCATTCCTATAAATCGAAGAGGAGGCGCTATGGAAATCGTTTTGAATGCAATGGAAATTCGGACGTTTATAATAACTGTTAGGCATACTTAAAAGAAATTGACTTGAGATTGTAAAATGGGATTACTATAATGATGTACGAATGACAATGTACAATTTTTTATATTTTTTTTTACTTAATTAAAAAAATTCATTGTTAAATATCAAGAAATAAAGTGTTTGAAAATTATAACGAAAAAATTTTAATTAATCTACAACAGCAATTAAAATTAAGTTAGCTGCATTCAAAAAATTTTTAGAATAGCTGTTAGTAATAATAATATTAAATAATAAATAAAAGGATGCTTTATTAATTAAAGGAAGTATTTATAATAAATATTTGTTACCGTAAAGTGTTCTTGTGCACTGAAAAATAAAATGTACGTATAGTTAATACCGAAAAAGTAGATGAAAATTAATTTAGCAGATATTTAATAATTTAAAAAATTTTTCTAATAAATAAATTACTGGATAAAAAATTGAGAAAAAAAAATTGGACATTTAGAAAATTAAATAAATTAAAAATGCAATTTTAAAAAAAAATTTTTTCGGAGCAAATTTTTTTGTTTAATAAAATTAAAAAATGGTCAAGTGACTGCTAACTTTAATATCGTAAAAAGTAGCAAAAAATAGAAAAAATTTTTTTTTTT